CTGGCCGCAGTCTGCATTGTGACTGTCACCCCGATGCTGATGGAGCACCCAGCGCGCAATTGGCGCCCAGGTACAGCCTCATGCTGGGCACTGGCCCAGGTACGCAGAATGCTGGCCTTCAAAGACGTGGAGCTTATCACTTTTGACCAGTGCTGCTTTGGAGCTGCGTCAAAAAAGCCGACTACGGTGCTCACCATCGCATGCCCAAGTTTTGGGAGAGTTATGAGAGCTCGGGAAGACAGAGGACGTTGCCCACATATGAATGGACACCTGGCTTCTATTGGAAGAGATATTCAGGGCAAGTACCTCACAGCCAAGTTGAAGGAATATCCAGAGCAATTATCACTTCACATGGCGTTGAGCCTCCAAGATGCTTGGAATGATCGCACATATTATGCTGGCGAGGACTGGGACGACATAAGCCTGGACCTTGTGCAGTTATACGTCCCCCTGGACGAGTACGGCGCTGCAGCGGAGGACTTCAATCATGACTGCTGGCGAGGGCACCGTGCGTGACTTGCCCTTCGGTGAGTGGATTGTCTTTCTTCGGCTGACAGTATCAAACCCCCCAGGCAGTTGCCTCGAAGAGGTCAGTCGCTGCGGTTCGAGGCAGTCCGCTCGACTCCTCGGACGTGATGCAGTATGTGAAGCTGCGGGTCCAGCAGCACAACCTGGACTAGCCAGGGCGGGCCAGCACCTTCGACCACCAGTACTGCGACTGGAGGGCCGTGCAGGACCGCTACTTCTGGGTCGTGAAGGCCCCCCCGGCAGGGTGAGCGTGCCGCCCGCCGTAGAAGGCGGAGGCTGGCGGCCCTGAGGGGGGGATGAGCTGGGCCCGAGGGCCCTCCCCCACTCCTTTTTTGAGCATGAGAGGAGCCAGGATGGTGGAGGGGGTGGGTCTCCCTCCCTCGTCTCGCGCGGCGGCCGCGGCCGCGGGCGCGCGTGCGCGGTGGAGGGCTGTGACCCGACGCGCGTCGCGCAGCGGTTGCGGCAGGCAGGAGGAGGAGGAGGAGGAGGAGGAGGAGGAGGAGGAGGAGGAGGAGGAGGAGGGAGGAGGAGGAGGCGGAGGAGGAGGAGGCGGAGGCGGAGGAGGCGGAGGCGGAGGCGGAGGCGGAGGCGGAGGCGGAGGAGGAGGCGGAGGAGGAGGAGGAGGAGGCGGAGGCGGAGGAGGAGGAGGAGGAGGAGGAGGAGGAGGCGGAGGAGGAGGAGGAGGAGGAGGAGGAGGAGGAGGAGGAGGAGGAGGGAGGCGGAGGCGGAGGCGGAGGCGGAGGCGGAGGCGGAGGCGGAGGCGGAGGCGGAGGCGGAGGCGGAGGCGGAGGAGGCGGAGGCGGAGGCGGAGGCGGAGGCGGAGGCGGAGGCGGAGGCGGAGGCGGAGGCGGAGGGGCGGAGGCGGAGGCAGGAGGAGGCGGAGGAGGAGGAGGAGGAGGAGGAGGAGGAGGAGGAGGAGGAGGAGGAGGAGGAGGAGGAGGAGGAGGAGGAGGAGGAGGAGGAGGAGGAGGAGGAGGAGGAGGAGGAGGAGGAGGAGGAGGAGGAGGAGGGTTCGGCCCCAGGGGGCTGTTGGATGCGAGCGCCGGCCGCGGGGCTTCCTCGGCCCCCCGGGAGCTGCGGGATCTCCCTCTCCCTTGCCTCTGCCTTGGCTCTGCCTCTGCCTCTCTTTCTCTCTCTTTCCCTCTCCCTCCCTCTCTCTCTCTCTCCTCTCTTTTCTGGGTCAAGCTTTTCTGGGTCGGTCAAGAGGGGGATGACGACTGAGGTCGGCGGAGAGCGAGGGGGGGGGGAGCAAGAAGGAGACCCTCTCAGAAAGCGGCGGGGCTTCTCCAGAAGGCCTCGCGCATCCCAAGAGGTTTTCGGCGTCCTCAGGGCAGGCAAATAAGACTTCTCAGGAGGCCATGGGACTTCCGGGCCTTCTGAAAAGGCCCGCGCCTTCTCACTCTCCCCCCGCGCTCGCCACCAACAAGGGGGGGTGGATATCATGGCCAGTGCCATGATATCCCGCCAGGTTTCATAGTCCCTCGTAATTATCTCAACGCGTTTCCTGCCATCCCCTGGTCCGCGCACCTGCCTCGGGCCACGATTTGCACACCCCCTCTTGGACGCCCCCCTCTTGGACGATCCCAAAAGGGGTGGGTGGTGGCTGCGGCAGGTTCGCGTCGTGTCGACTGGCGGCGGCCCCGCCGCCGGCGTTCCATGTTGAGTGCGGCCGTTGACTCAGAAGCGGTCGATGCTGAGCGATCCGACGTTTCGGAAACAGCCGATCGTTCGTTCAAGGTTGCACGAGCCCCGCGGTGTCAGAGACCAACGCCGAAGTCCGCACAGCACGAGCCTGCCGTAGGGGGAGGGTATCATGGCCAGGGCCATGGTATCTCCCTGGACTTTGTGGCCCCCTCGGCATGGAAAGTCTTCCCTGTCCTCGATGGCTTCGGCCGCCTCGGGTTTCTCGGGGGCGCCCTCGGCATCTCTCCCGCGGCTTCCTGGGGTCTTCCGGGTCCTCCTCGAGGCCTCTTGGGCTTCCCGCGGCCTTCCTGCGCCGTCAGGGCGGCATCTCGGCGCCGTGGTCGGGCCGTCGTGGGCCTGCTCCCGAGGCGGCCCGACCTCCCTTTGCACCCGCTCAGCCTTTCCGCGCGTCCCCCCCCCAGCCACCCCGTGGATCGCGAGGATCGCGCCCCCCGGCATGGTTCGGGGGATGGGGCATGCATCTCCCACGCCAGTGCTCAAGGTGTTGGCGATTTGTCCTGCATGTCTTTGTCATCTGCGTAGATGGCTTCAGAGACGGAAGGGGAGGCCCGTGCACCGTCGGGGCCCCGAAGCTCCTTGCAAGCGGAATGTGTGAAGGCGGCTCGCTCACTCCCAACCGCCCTCCCAGCGCGTGTGCAGCACCTGAGAGTCAGCACCAGGTGTGCCATACGCACCCAGTCAGTACTCAGCTGTCGCCATGTGCACCAGTTGCCCCACGTGCGCCGCCCAGTGCAATAGGCGTGCCTTGCTGCGCTTGGTGCTCCTGGGGCGGCCCATTGCCGCCACCAGGTGCGCCACGTGCGCCAGATGATCCAGGCGCACACATCGGACAGCAAGATACCCCGAGTCATCAAAACCGATGCAACGTGACGGTTGAGGACTGGTAGAGCTTTCGGTGTGTGCCATTTTCTGCGTTTTGTTGGCCCTCAGGGAGGATGCTGTGAGCGACAGGGGGAGAGGTAGGGACACACACAGATCATATCATCATAGCATATCATATACATATACATATATATATATAGAGGGAGAGAGCGAGAGAGAGAGAGAGAAGGCATTGGCCCTGACAGATGGCAGACTGGGTCGACAAGGGACAGGGAAAGCCCTCCCGCTGCGCCTGGATGGGAATGAAGGGATCGGGGAATGGAGATTCGGCAGACAACTGTAGGCCGCCAGCCGACGAGAGTGCCAACGGGGTTCCCGCGCTCATGCCAGTTCTACCCCTCTGCCTGATCTTCCTCTCCTCCTCCTCCTCCTCCTCCTCCTCATCTTCCACCTCCTCCTCCCCCTCTCCCATGCCCCCTTTCGAGGATGATGTTGGGTACGAGGTGGTGGTGTTGTGGAGGAGGTTTTGGAGTCGTTTTGAACGGCACCGTGGTGGCCTGCAGGCCTGAAGAGGAAGGGCAGGTGAATTCCAGTCTCGAGTTTATTGCTCAGGTACGGTCAGGTTACTTCCCAGGTGGCAGTTCGCAAGCAACGCTTGCTATAGCTGGCGATGCCTTGTGCTGGCTCCCTCAGAATTCCTTCTTCTTCCCCCCGCATATATTGCTCCAGGGGGGACAAGATTGTAGCCGACGAGAGGGAGAGGGACATTCATTCAAATAAGCGACACTAAGCCTTGGCGGGCTGGGGGGGACCCCCATGCCCTTGGCTCTCCAGCTCTCAAGAGGGTCCCTAGACGGTCCAAGAGGGCCCCGTTTCGACCCAAGAGGGCCTTGTATGCTCCCAAGGCGGCCCAGCCCAAGCTTGTCCAGGATGCTTTGACCACCCCAAGGCCCCCAAACGAGGACCCTCAGGATGACTTCAAGAGGCCAAACTCGTTTATGTTTTGTTTTTTAGCTTTTCGAGCGATCTCGAAGTACTCGCGCTTTCGAGCTTCAGGGCCCCAATGACGGCCCAAGATGCCCGCAATATCGCACAGTGACGGCCCAGGAGGCCCTCAAGCGGCGCCCAAGACGGCCCGTTCAGCCCCCCAGAGGCCCCCAAGAGACCCCAAGACGGGCCAACAGGCCCCGAAGATTGCCTACCCACCAGAGGACCACAAGAGACACGAATACGGTTCCAGAGGGCCCAAGGGAGCCTCAAGGCAAACATGCTTCAAGGCAACCCCAGAGGCCCCCAAAGCTACAAGACGGCTCCAGCAGGCCCCCCAAGTGGGCTTGAAAAGGTCAAAAACATTGATTCTACACGCGTGTCGGCAGTTCCGTCGAGTCAATCTATGGGTCCACGCTGATGTGTGTGTGTGTGTGTGTATGTGTGTGTGTGTGTGTGTGTGTGTGTGTGTGTGTGGGTGGGTGTTTGTATGTATAGAGCGAGAGAGTGACACGGATAGAGAGTGAGAGAGAGAGAGAGATGACTCTTCTTCCTGCTCCTTCTCCCCCTCGTCCTTCTCCTCTTCATCCTCCTTCCCTCGGCGATCGGTCCGATCCATACCACCGCTGATGTTTCTGACTTTGGGCGGCCAGGGTAGCAAGTCTGTTACCCAGAGTCTTTTTTTGTTTTTCGTTTTTTACCCACGTCCCCTCCCCAGGCCGTCGGAGAGATGTGGCAGGGGCAGGATTACGGATAGACTGTCGATTGCTCATTCCTCTTTTTCTCTCCTTCTCCTCCTCCTCCTCCTCCTCCTCCTCCTCCTCCTCCTCCTCCTCCCCTATTCTTCACTTACCCCGCTTCGCTTGCTGGCGACATACTACTCTTCGTCGTACCCAGGGGCGCGAGGATAATCACCCTTCGCGCGTCGCGGACTGGGTTAGAGAGCTATCCTTCCCGAGGTGGCTTCGGCGCAGTTTCGCAGCCGCAGCACGGCGGGCTCTTCGGTGCGGCGCCACTGTCACAGCCGCAGCAGCAGCAGGCGCACTTTGCCTCCTCTGCCGCAGCTGCGAGGGCCCCCCTCGAGCGACGAACACATCCATATCTCTAGGCCTCCTAGATGGGGTCGGAGTGGACGGGGACGGAGGATCGCGCCGCATCGCCGATGCGTCGCCAATGCGGCTCGAGGCGGAGCCCGATTTTCTCCACGCCGGCGGCGCCGATGCATCGGCGATGAATCGCCGCTGCATCGGCGATGCGGCGCGATCCTCCGATCCCACCTGCTCAGCCCCCAGCGATAGGAGGCCTCCGACATCCGTGGCCTCGTGGTCGGGACACCGAGGCGCGGCCCCGCGCGCAGGAGTACGTTGCACGCGGGACGGCCGCGCTCCTCTCTGGAGAGGAAAAAACACACAGACACAATGAATCGTCGATTCCCCAGAAAATGTGGGAAAATATGGGAAGCGGGGGGGAAGACAGAAGCCCAGAACATATGGGAAAACATGGGGAATATTTTTATTTGTGTGTATCTATTCGTGTGTCCTGGGGCCCCTTCATCCTCCGCCGCTCTGTATCCGCCGGGTCGCGGCCCAGGGGTCCCGCCCGCGAGGCCGTGGCTGCGGATGTGGTTCCTGACCAGGGGGGGGCAGCTACAGTCGGCCCGCATTAGCAGGTCGACCCTGCCAAATCCAGGGTACTCTTGCGTCTGGTGCCTCGCGACCCACGCCTCCTGCATTCCCGTGGCAATGTGGCCCTCGGCAGGGTCTTGTGTCCTCTCGCGTGTCCTGTCCCACCAAGTCCGACGGTAGGGTCAGGAGAATATTACTCAGGAGGGACAGAAAGAGGAGGATCGAATCTCGAGGATCGCTTGGGTGGCGCTTTTCGGCCTCTCTGGGCATCCTGGGGGCCTCTCACCGACACGTCTGGATTTTCCCAGAACTCCTTGTCAACATGCACCTTTCGACAGGTCGGGGGTTGATCGAGGACGCCTGCTCCCTGGGAGTTTGGCGGGGTTCTCGCAGATTTAGTGGCCGTTTGCTCATTCCTCCACCGTGCCTGGGTCTGGGATTGGAGGCGTGTAGGGCGCCTATGATGGTTTCTTTGAATCCTTGTCGTTGGGCTCTCGGGGCTGTTGGAGCCTCGCAGGAGCCTCTCTGGGCTATCTAGGGACCTCGTGGGAGCCTCTTGGAGCCGACTGGACCATCTCGGAGGAGAGGGGCCCCTTGGCTTCCCCGATGCCTTTGCAACAAGGGGGCGCTGCAATGCACAATGGCGCCTGTGTGTTCCATATGGACTCGAAGACCGACGCTGCGCAATCACCAGCGCTCGAATCATCAGGATTAGACGCTGAGAGGACAGCGTCATGAAACCAGTGGGACTCAACATGCAATGTACGGGGCAGGGGGCAGCGGTGCGGCGGATGCTCTGCACGATGGGTTTTCGGCGTAAGTTTAGCAGGCACCCCGGGTGCCTTTGGGCGATGCGTGGTCTTTCGTGCCTTGCTTTATCGCCGCTACCGTACCGCTTGCCCCTTCGCAAGACAAGCGAACAAGAAAGAAGAGGATAATGAGGAGGAGGAAGACGAGGAGATCGGCTCTGCCCTCTGTTGGCCACCCCTCCTCTTCCTCCTCCTCCTTTTCCTCCTCCTCCTCCTCATCCTCCTCTCAGGGGCTCCTTGGGCAGCAATCGCGGCTTCTTCTGGGCTTTTTTGGGGGCTTCCTGGAGAGGTGGGCTTGGGGGTTCTGTTGGGGTGTTCTTGGGTGTGGATTCCGGGCCTGGGGGTGAGTTTTTTCCAGCATTGTCCAGTGTAGGGGCGCACAGCTGCAAAACTCCAAGTCCGAACGTGAGCCTCTTCGTGCTTCTTGGTTCTGTCTCGGAGCCCTCTCGCGATAGACTCGTCTACGTACGAGCTCCTTGCAGTCGCAGGCGTCGTCAAGTGCGTCGCCATCCCTGTTGGTTCCAGGCTGGTACTGTCTGGGGGAGAGCCTCGCCAAACGCACGGGTGGATCTAGCTCTTGACGTCGATCCCGTCGTATGCCACTTGTGCAGACCTGTTTGTCTTCGCCACGTAGGTGTCAAATCTAGCGCACGACCTCTTGTCATGTGGACGTTGCGTCCTATGAGCTCGCACTACGTCTGCATCACCTTCAGGAAGATCATTGTTTGTTGAGTATTTCAGTATCGCGAACATTCAGGTAGCGCCACCATCCCATCCTGAATTTGAGCTATGATCGGAACCCTCATGGGCTCGTGCCACTGCGGGAAGTTGCTGTTTGTCCATATTTTCGGCGAGGCGCAATCCCACACAGTGTCGGATTGTTTTTTCGTTCTTTGGGCATCCAGTACGATAACACCTCCTCAGAGGGAGTCGTGCGGCGAGACACATGAGGAACTGGTACCATAAACAATCGGAATGAGGGGGTATCGATCAGGCGAATTTCCAATTGCATTCCGATTTGGATTGCATCTTTTTAAGTCGAAGTCGCCTGCGGCGAATCACCGCCCCCCTACCTTTTGGAATCGCCCATGCGGCCGAGCGTTGTGGCAAGAGCTCTGCCAATCTATCGGACCATGTGCGCCTCCAGCGGTTGTGGAAGCCCTTTGGGGGACACTTGGGGAAGGATGGCGGGGAAGATCCGGAGGAGGAGGACGGGGATGATGATGATGATGATGATGATGATGATGATGATGATGATGATGATGATGATGATGATGATGATGATGATGATGATGCTGATGATGATGATGATGATGCTGATGCTGATGCTGATGATGATGATGATGATGATGATGATGATGATGATGATGATGATGATGATGATGATGATGATGATGATGATGATGATGATGATGATGATGATGATGATGATGATGGTGATGATGATGATGATGATGATGATGATGATGATGATGATGATGATGATGATGATGATGATGATGATGATGATGATGATGATTAGGAGGAGGAGGAGGAGGAGGAGGGAGGAGGAGGAGGAGGAGGAGGAGGAGGAGGAGGAGGATGAGGAGGAGGAGGAGGAGGAGGAGGGGGTATCTTGGGAGCCTCTGGGGGCACTCTTGGGGCCTCCTGGAAGCTTCCTGGGAGCCTCTTGGAACCATCTTGGCGGCCTCCTTGGGCCTCCTGGGGGCCTTTGGGGGCTTCTGGGGGGCCTCTTTGGCAGTCTTAGCAAGTCTGGCCCGTCCGACGCCGTCGGAAGCCGTCTTGGGGGCCTCTCTGGGCCGACTTGGGGCCCTCTTGGGGTGCTCCAAGGATGTCTTGGAGGCCATCTTGGGTGTCTTGGAGGGGTCTTGGCTCGTCTTGGGGCTCTTTTGGGGCTGTCATGGGGGCCTCTTGGGCCGTGCTCGGGCCATCTTGGAGGCCTCTTGAGCGATCTTGGGGCGATCATTAGGGGCTCTTGGGCCGTCTTGGGCCGTCGGAAAACCGAACATAAGCAAATGCCAGATTCCTTCAAATACCTTTCTGGGAAATCAATGATTCTGGGCTCCTCGGGCCCTCCTGGAGGACCTCTTGGAGATCTCGTGGGCCGTCTTGGAGGCCAACTTAGAGGCATTTGGGACTCTCTTGGGCCATCTTCGAGGCCTCTTGGGCGAGCTTGTGGCGATCTTTGGGGGCTCTTGGGCAGTCTCGGGCCGTCCGAAGGCTGAAAAGAAGCAAATGCCAAAATCCTTCAAACACCAATGGAAACCACGTATTTTGACCTCTTCGGGCCTTCTGGAGGCCCTCTTGGGGGCCTCGTCTTGGAGACCACTTGATGGCCTCTTGGGTCGTCTTGGGCCATCTTCGAGCGGTCTTGGGCCGCCTTGGAGGCTTCGTGGGCGGACTCGGAAATTTCTTGGGCCCTCTTGGGCCGTCTTGGAGGCCATCTTGGGCCCTCTTGAGGAGGAGGAGGAGGAGGAGGAGGAGGAGGAGGAGGAGGAAGGAGGAGGAGGAGGAGGAGGAGGAGGAGGAGGAGGAGGAGGAGGAAGAGGAGGGGAATGAGCACGAGGAGGAGGAGGATGAGCAGGAGGAGGAGAATGAGGAAGAGCAGGAGGAGGAGAAGGGTGAGGAGGAGGAGGAGGAGGACGAGGAGGAGGAGAATAAGGAGAAGGATGAGGAGAAGGAGGAGCAGGAGGAGGGAGGAGGAAGAGGAGGAGGAGGAGGAGGAGGAGGAGGAGGAGGAGGAGGAGGAGGAGGAGGAGGAGGAGCAAGAGGAGGCCATCTTGGACCATCTGGGGCGAACTTGGAGGCCTCACGGGGCCGTCTCAGAGGCCTTCTTTGGCCGTCAGGATGTCATCTTGGAGGCCTTTGGGGCCATCTTGGGGCGATCTTTGTGGGCTCTTGGGCCGTCTCGGGCCGTTGGGTGGGAGGCCGAAAGGAAGCACATGTCAAAAATCCTTCAAAAACCTGAAGTCAATCAATGATTTTGGGCTTTTCGGAGGCCCTCCTGGAGGACCTCTTGGGCCGTCTTCGGCCATCTTCAAGCCATCCTGGGTCGTTTTGATGGCCTCCTGGCCCGTCTGACGCTGTCGGAAGCCGTGTTGGCTCTGGGCCGACTTGGGGCCCTCTTGGGGTGCTCCAGGGCCGTCTTGGAGGCCATCTAGGATGTCGTGGAGGCCTCTTGGCTCGTCTTTGGGCCCTCTTGGGGCCGTCTTGGGGGCCTCTTCGGCCGTCCTGGGGCCATCTTGGAGGCCTCTTGGGCGATCTTGGGGCGATCTTTGGGGGCTCTTGGGCGGTCTCGGGCCATCGGAAAGCCGAACAGAAGCCAATGCCAAAATTCTTCAAATACCAATGGAAGATCAATGATTTTGGGCTCTTCGGGCCTTCCTGGACGCCCTCTTGGGGGCCTCTTGGGCCGTCTTGGAGACCTCTTGGTGGCCTGCCGGGGCGTCTGCGGCACTCTCTTGGCCCGTCTGACGCCGTCGGAAGCCGTCTTGGGGGCCTCTCTGGGCCGACTTGGGGTGGGGCCCTTTGGGGTGCTCCAGGGCCGTCTTGGAGGCCATCTAGGGCGAACTTGGAGGCCTCTTGGCTCGTCTTGGGGCCCTCTTGAGGCCTTCTTGGGGGCCTCGTGGGCCGTCCTGGGGCCATCTTGGAGGCCTCTTGGGCGATCTTGGGGCGATCTTTGGGGGCTCCTGGGCTGTCTCGGGCCGTGGGAAAGCCGAACAGAAGCAATACCTATGGGAAATCACTGATTTTGGGCTCCTCGGGTCCTCCTGGAGGACCTCTTGGAGATCTCGTGGGCCGTCTTGGAGGCCAACTTGGAGGCATTTGGGACTCTTGGGCCATCTTCGAGGCCATCTTGGACCATCTTGGGCGAACTTGGGGGCCATCTTGGCCGTCCTAGGGGATTTTTAGGGACGTTGTTCTCGTTTCCGATCCCTTCTGGACGGCCGGCGGGACGGGCCGATTGGGAAAGAGAATCCGCCGCCCCCTGTCGATTCTTCGCAGGGGTGCCTGGCGTGCCGAACTATATGGGTTGGTTTTGGTTCTTGTTCCAAAAGAACTCCCCCTGGGGCTTCGGCCCGTCCCGCCGGCCACCCGGAAGGATGCTGAAAATTTGCCCCGAAAAGGCCAAAATCATTGATTTCCCTAGAGTTTTGTTGAAGGATTGTGGCATTTGCTTTTTTTCGGCCTTCCGACGGCCCGAGACGGCCCAAGTGCCCCCAAAGATCGCCCAAGACGGCCCCAAGAGGCCCCCAAGACGGCCCAAGAGGCCTCCAAAACGCTCAAGATGGACTCCAAGACGGCCCAAGAGCCATCCGCGTCGGGAGCTCGAAAAGTCGAGGACTCCAAATTCATTGAAAAACCTATGGAAGATCAATGATTTTGCCCTCTCGGGGCCCTCTTGGGAAGGCTCTTGGAACTCTCTCGGGGCGTCTCGGAGGCCTCTTGGGCCGTCTTGGGACCATCTTGGGCGTCTTGGTACGATCTTCGGGCGTCTCGGGGCTCTCTTGGACAGTCTTGGAGTCCTTTCGGGGCCGAACACTTTGATCATGGGCGCGACCTATATCTCGGTTGTCCTGACAGGTCGGCGGTCGGATATCGCCCCGAACCCCCATTTCTGCCTGCCACTACCGTTCTTCACCCGCAGGGCAGAGCGCCTATTTCACCCGCGGCAGCCTGCGCGGCAGCTCCTATGTCCAGAGGCATCGTGCCAGGCTGTCTTCCAACGGGAGAGCGAGGGAGAGAGGGATGGATGGAGAGGGAGGGAGGGGGGGGAGAGAGGCAGAGGAGGACATGTAATTGATGATTGACATTCAGGGGCGACGGCGAAGTGAAGGAGAACGACGTACAATGATATACAGGATTCGCCATAAGCATTTGGTCGGTTCCTGTCGTGTCGCCGCGGTGGCGACCCCAGCGCGGGCGTTCAAGGTTGAACGCCGCCAGTGGCCCAGAATCGGCCAATGTGGAACGATTTGGCGATCGAACTGATCGTTCGAGGTTGAACGATTCACGCGGTGTCAGAAGCCGACGCCAGGGCCATCACGACACGAACTTGCCGTGATGGCTGCGCCATCGTGGCTCACTTTGGCCGTCCATCGCTCTGCGACTCCTCGGCGCCACCCACAGTGCACGATCTCCTGAGGCGCTGCTGGGATCACTGCTCGGGTGGGCTCTTGCCGCCGAGCGAGGAGCCTGTCATGGCCTGCACCATCACGGCTTACCCTGCTGTCCACAGCTCTGCCACGCCCCTGCGCAACCCACAATGCACGACATGTGTACAGTGGAGGCTGATAGGTAGACGGGCCCAGCCACATCAAGGGCACACCCGTGTGTCCTGTGCTTCGCGACCCATGCCTTCTTAGATTCCTGTGGCAATGTGGCACCCGGAAGGGTCTTGTTCGGAAACTGGAGCATATACATTACCAGTGGCGGGCGGTTTTTCAATCCCAGGACTTTTTGAGGGTCGGGGACGACGTCGGGGTGGTGTGGTGTATACTCTTTTCCCCGTTCTCCTGGGGAAACAACGAAGAACGTACGTAATACTCCAGGATCCCGTATACACCAGGATCCGCCTTCCCTGTGCGAGATTCGGTGTGAGGCCAGACACAGGCGTCGGGGTATAGACTTCGGCTCCCTACCTGCGTCCTCTCGCGTGCCCTCTCGACTCAGCCCAGACTGTACACCGAAGCGTTGTCGGGAGCGCCGCTCCGGGCGGGCATCCCGCGTCCGAGCGAGCGGCCGCCTCGGGATCGCCTCGCTCCTGCCCCGCTCGGGGCTGCTGCCGGTTCGGCAGCGGCGTTCCTGGAGGGCGGGGGACGCGGCGGCCACGGGCTCCGGAGGGCCAGGCCTCCGACGTCCCGGTTCTTTGAGCGGTTGTGCTGCAGGGCTCTCGATCGTACCTTTCCGTGCGGCGGACTTTGGTTGCCGCTGGTCCATGTTTGTTCTGTTGGTAAGCCCTGGGGCCGAACCTGTGTGTCCAGAAGGTGCAAGCCGAGGAACAGTTGCCGTCCTGGTCTTCTCGTGGCGCCCGAGGTCTGGGACTCGATCGTAGCCCGTAGCAGGCGCTGCCTGCTTCCCCTCTCCTGCCTCGCGTCCTGCTGCGCCTCCTTCGCCCTCGTCTTGTGATCGTTCGTCCTCCTTGTCTTCTTCTTTTTTCTCTTCTTCCTGTATTCTCGTTTCGTTCTGTCCTGCTCCTGTCCTCATCCGTTCTTTTGCTCCTCCTCCAAAACTTAACGGCTGCTGCTGCTTCTCCCCCGTCTCTCCTCCCTCCTACTCCCTTCAGCTCCTTCTTCCCCTCCTGGTTCCCTGTCCCTTCCTACGTCCTCCTGCTTCTTTTCTTCCCCTCCTTCTCCTTCTTCTTCTTCTTCTTATTCTTCTTATTCTTCTTCTTCTTCCTTCCCTCTCTTCCTCTTCCCTTTAACCTTTCTCTTTTCTCCTCCCTCCCTCCCTCCCTCCTTCCCTCCCTCTTCCACCACTTGTTCGTTCATGGTTACTGGTTGGCACGTGCACTTGGCCCCGACCTGTCGGGAAGGAGGGGGGGGGCCGAGAGGATGGATCGGACGGCGTTTGGTGGAGGACGGGCCAAGGGCGGCCAGTCCATGGCAGTGCTTTGTTGGGCGCGGACGGCCGTGGTCTCGCGGCCCCTTGCGTATGGTGGTGGCGCCAGGAAATGTGTGCGCACCGTCCTGCTCCTTCCGCTCCTCCTCCCAGTCGTCCCGGGCCGTCCGATTCGACTTCTGACCGCACCGAGAAGTCCTGATATCGTCGTCGTGCCTCCAGGGACTGCCTGACCCCCCCCCGGTCGTCGTCGCCGCTGCCGTCGCCGTCGTCGTCGTCGTCGTCGCCGTCGCCGGCGCCGCCGCCGCCGCCGCCGTCTGCGCCCGCGGCCGTCTGCGCCCGCCGCCGTCGTCGTCGTCGTCGTCGCCGTCGCCGTCGCCGTCGCCGCCGCCGTCGCCGTCGCCGCCGCCGGCGCCGCCGGCGCCGGCGCCGCCGCCGTCGCCGCCGTCTGCGCCAGCCGAGGAAGCCGTGGCGGCGCCGCCACAGGCAGCGGCCCGTTCGGCGCCGCCACCGGGGTCGGCCTGTTCGGCGGCGCCGCCCCGGGTGGCTTCGGCGGCGCCGCGCCCCAGGGCGGCGGCCTGTTCGGCGGCGCAGCCCCGGGTGGCTTCGGCAGCGGCCTGTTCGGCGGCGCAGCGCGGGGGCAGGGCGGCAAGGAGCCGCGCCCGGGGGGGGGGCTGGGGCGGGCGCCTCGGCCAGGGTGCCTCGGGGCCCCGCGGCGGTCCCTCGGTGCTGTCGCGGCGACGGCTCGCCCAAAGGGCTGGTCCTGCCGCCCCAGCGGCGACAAGAATCGCGACGGGGGACGGGTTTTTGTTGGTGGCGAGCCATCGGGGCCTTGCATACCCCCGTAACTCCGTCTTGAATTTGCTTCAGTGTCGTTTAGCGTCTTTTCATCGATGAGATAGCGTCGACTCAGCGTCGATGAGCGTCGATTCGCGTCGACTTGGCGCCGATTAGCTTCGATTAGCGTCGATTCGCAGGGGCCAACACGAGGGTATGGGAGGCTCCCAGGAGTTGCCGCAGAAGTCTTTGGCAGTCTTCGGCCTCTGGGGGGCGCTGTCCAGGCCGTGGGAAGGTGAAACAACGATTCTGGTTATGATGTTCCAAGCTACTTTGGCCTTGACCACCAGAGAAAAACATCGAGCACCAAACAAGTACCGAAACTGGAGGGTTTTCACGTGTCGGGCCTGGGGAGACACTTGTCCGACACTGTTTCGACACGCTTTCGACACGCTTTCGACACTCTTTCGACACTCTCCCGGGTGCTCGGAATCATTTCTGGGATGTGGTCTTTAAGTACGAGGGGAGCAACACAAGACGCAGGTTCAAGGGCTGGTCCCAGGGAAGGGGCCCAGGCACTCCAGGGGTCCATGTGGCGAGGAAAAGATACTCGGGAGCGAAAGAAGGACGTACACTTAAGTCCGACATGTCCCTCTACAGGAAAATAGTCTGGGGACGTTTTTTCGAATATTTTATAATGTTATTGGAGTATATTTTTAAAACATCGACCAAAATCCGCCTGTAGGGGGACACGCCCGACCTAAACGTACACGTACACGAATCCACGCTGGTTTCGAGAGTACGCCTTGCGCAAATGTTCGTATCACGTGGCCAGCCGTGTTCATGTACGTAGCTGGGCGCGCACGTCCTTTGTGGGCTCCCTAAATACGTCGTTGGACTTCTCGGTCGGGGGGGAAGGTCGGGCCCTGCGGCCGGTCAGGAGGGGTGGGGCTGGGACGGAGAGTGTCATGGCGCCCACATCGCAGAGCGTATTTCGGAAAACGATAGGATGGGCCTGGAGTATCCTGGAGAATTTCGCTCCGGATTTCGAGGTGAGTTTCGCGTTTTTTTTTGTTTTTTTTTTTTTGTTTTCACCCCCCCCTTCTTTTGCTTGGAATGCAGACGAAACAAATCCGCGCGAAATTAACTTCGTTTTTCGCTCGCCGCTTCGGGCAAAAATCTACGCAGAAATCCACGCGGAAATCCGCAGCAGCACGTCTGCAAGGCCAGATCAATGAAAAGTGTGGGGGCCGAGACCAGCAGCAGTTCCTGTCCGTTTTTGAAGAGGGCTTGCTGCCGGTATCGCCGCCCTTGCTGTCGTTATTGTCGCCGTGGCCGTCGCCGTCGCTGTCGTTATTGTCGAAGTCGTCGCCGCCGTCTTTGCCGTCGTCGCCGTCGCCGCTGCCGCCGCCGCCGAGGTCATCGTCGAAGTCGTCGCCGCTACCGGTTTGGGGCAACATGTGCTGTTGGGCATCGTCCGCATTCTGTCCGTCCCCACTTGAAGCGTGCCAACCGGCCCTGTCGAGTCGTGCAACAATTACGCCAGAAGGCTTTTGCCAACTCTCTCTTGTGTGGCCTTGGGACGGGTAACAAAAGCGACTGGTGGGGGCCACGCTGTGAGCAACAAAAACAAGACGCTGGGGGTCAGGGGTGCATCCTCCGTCATGCCTTGACTATGAGGGCAGTCTCGATCAGACGTCCGAAGCCCAGCCTCCCCCACTGTCGGGTGGGGTGGGAGAGCTGAGATCAAAGGGCCGACTGATTCAGATAATTACTCGGAAGGGAGGGAGGGTGGCAGCGGAGCATGAGGATGAGGACGAGGGAGGATGGGGAGGAGGAGGAGGAGGAGGAGGAGGAGGAGGAAGAGGAGGAGGAGGACAAGGGGAAACGCAGGCGCATCCCCCTCCTGCTCCTCCCTCCCTCCTCCCTCCTTCGGCTCCACCTCCTCCCACCTCCATCTCATCCTCATTCTTTCTCCTCTCTTCTCCCTCTGCCCTCCTCCGTCCTCCCTCACATCCTTCTTCTCACCTTCGGGCCATTCATGGTGTCCTCTCGGACAGTCTTCGGGGATCCTTGAGATCTCTTGGGCCTCCCTTGTCAGAGGCCAGCAACATATGTACACGTACGCGTTTAGCTTCCCCTGGAGTGCGTGTCAACGCGGACGTTCGTGCAGGCAAGACCGCGGAGGGCGTACATGTACATATGTCGTTGCTCGCCCACCTTGGGGCCTCTCGGGGCCCTCTCGGATTCTCTGCCGTCTCGGGGGCCTCAGGCCGTTTTGGGGGGCTCTTGTGGCCGCAGTGGGCGTTCTTGTACCCTCTTGGGATGTACCGAGGCCCCGTTGGTCTTGGGCCCCTCCGCAGGGCCGTCTTGGCGCCCGCGGGGTCACTTTGCCGAAGGCTCTGCGGCGGCATGATGGTACAATTTGATAATTTTATCGTAATGCGGCGTGCCTGAGAGATTCCTGCAAGTCTTGCAGATAGGAACTCTGGCTCGTGTCAGTTGTCAGACAGGTTCCTCCCGTCTTGGGCACCACTTTTTCGCGCAGCTTTTATATTCAATTGCAATGCCAACCACTGCTATGCGACGCTAGTGCTCACATGACATTTCAGGCGAATGGTATGCTACGCGGTACTATTCAAGGCAGTGCTAGGCTATGCAGTGATGGGCCGTGCAAGTGATGTACTGCGGGGGCATACGTTTATGCACTTCGCTAGCCATTGGTACGATGAGGCACTGCTATGCTTTGCTATGCCATGTTATCCAATCGCCATGCCTTGCGATACACTGCCATGTGATGTTGTGTTTATGTACAGTCTGAGCTGTGGAAGGCTTCGCCGTGCCATGCCATGCTACGTCAATTTGAGCTGTGCAAGGCAATTCTACATCTACGATTCAAGGCGACGCAGTGCTGCTATACCTAGAAAGGCTAGGCGGCGCGACGCTTTGTTATACATAATTATGGCTTGCTTGGCTTTACATCGTATGGCATCGCTTCATGGGCCGGCCCCCAAGTGCGTTGAGTGCGATGCGTCAACGGGCGGCCAAAGCCCCCATCTCGAGCGAAGTCGCGGATAGATCTGCTTCCCCCGCTCGTCTGCTCCTCACCAGGGTCCACTGTAGAGTGGCCCCTGTACCCCTCCTGGTGAAGTGCGATGCTTTAACGGGCGGCAGAAGCTCCCGTCTCGAGGGAAGCCGCGAAGAGATCTGCTTCCTCCGCTTAACTGCTCCCCGCCAGAGTTCACTCAAGCGTGGCCCCCGGACCCCTCCTGGGATTCGTTCTGCCCAGCCTTCGGAGCCGCGTCCCGCTGTGGCGACGAGAGCCTGCAGAAGCCGAACAAACAAACCAAACGAAGACGTCGACGTCGACCTCGCCCTGTCCCCACCTTGGTGTCTCCAGAGGTCGCCTGAGGTCCCAAGGCTAGAGAGGTCCGAAAACGTCCAAAATCCTGGATTCTCGATCCTTCATTGATACTCCACGCTCCTCGATCCTCCTCGATCTTCGATGCTCCAGGAAGGGTCCTAGATCTTCGAAGTGAAGACGTCGTCGACGACGATGTCGACGTGGACAACGACGTGGAAACGATGATGTCGACGCCGAAGGACGACGTCGACGACGACGACGACGACCTGAGGAAAAAGCAGATCGAACAGTAACGACGGTGAATCGGTGGCCCGCGTGGGGGG